TATGCAGGGTCTCTGGTTTTATTCCTAAATCCTTGATCCATTTTGAGTTCAGTTTTGTGCATGGTGAGAGATAGGGGTTTAATTTCATTCTGTTGCATGTGGATTTACATTTTTCCCAGCACCATTTGTTGAAGAGGCTATCTTTTCTCCAATGCATGTTTTTGGCACCTTTGTCTAATATAAGATAATTGTAATTTTGTGGGTTAGTCTTTGTGTCCTCTGCTCTGTACCATTGGTCTACCAGTTTGTTTTGGTACCAGTATCATGCTGTTTTTGTTACTGTTGCTCTGTATTATAGTTTAAGGTCTGGTATAGTGATGCCACCTGCTTCACTCTTCCTGCTAAGGACTGCTTTAGCTATTCTGGATCTCTTATTTTTCCAGATGAAAATGACCATACTTCCAAAAGCACTGTACAGGTTAAATGCAATTCTGATCAAAATCCCAATGACATTCCTTACTTGGAAGTAATTTTAAACTGACATAAGAATCAACATGAATAGTAACTCAAACTCCTATATGACATTTGCAAGGTATATTTATTGAAGATTTGCTCTGTTTGCTCTCTGCAGGTCTATATCTGTAACTTTTTATTGTTGTTAGTGGTGGTGAGTCATAGATATAACCCTTCACCTTTTTAAAAAAAATATTATTATTTTTTTATACTTGTAGATGGACAGAATGCCTTTATTTTATTTGTGGTACTGAGGATCGAACCTAGTGCCTCACCCATGTTAGGCAAGCACTCTGCTGCTGACCTATAGCCTGAGCCCTGCTTCACCTTTTAACACGTGTATTTCCTTAGAATAAGAATATTATTCTTGCTGGGCACAGTGGTGCACACCTGTAATCCCAGTGGCTCAGAGGCTGAGATAGGAGGATCTTGAATTCGAAGCCAGCTGCAGCAACTTAGGCTCTAAACAACTCAGTGAGATCCTGTCTCTAAATAAAATATAAAATAGGGCTGGGGATGTGGCTCGGTGGTGCCCCTGAGTTTAGTTCCCGGTACCCCCCCCCCAAAAAAAAAGAATAATATTATTCTTTTAAATATAATTCCATTATCAATTACATTAAATTTAACATCCATATAATAGTTTTTTTTATTGGTACTGGGGATGGAACCCAGTGTCCCTTTACCATTGAGCTATATACCCAGTCCTTTTTTAAGACAGGGCCTTGCTAAGTTGCTGAGGGTCTCACTAAGTTGCTGAGGCTGGCCTATAACTTGCAATCCTCTTACCTCCTACCTCACTCCCTTGAGTCTTTGGGATTACAGGCATATGCTACCATGCCTGGATAGATTCACTTTTATTTGTGTACTTATATATTTATTTTTTGATGCTAGGGATTGAACCCAGAGGTACTTTACTACTGAGCCACATCCCCAAGCCTTTTTAGTTCTTTAATTTTAAGACAGGGTCTCAACTCAGTTGCTGAGGACCTCAATAAGTTGCTAAGGCTGGCCTCAAACTCAGGATCCTCCTACTGTAGCTTCCTGAGTCAACTGGGATTATAGGCATGCACCATTACTCCCAGTCTTTATTTGTATTTTTGAAGTAAATCCTGGTTTTTAATTTTTTGTCGGTTCTGGAAATCTAACCCACAACCTCATGCATACGAGGTAAGTATCCTACAACTGAGTCACATTCCCAGTCCAATAAACCTTAATTTTGAAAATTGTGAAAAATTATATAGAGCTACTATATAGAGCTACTCTTCTATATAGAGCTACTATATAGAGCTACTCTTCTATATAGAGCTACTCCAGCTAATACTTGATGGCATTTCTTGTTTATGAAATTTAATTTTAAATTGCATTAAATTCTAAAATTTAACTTAAATTTTAGAAACAAGAAATGCTTAAAAATAAATTGATGTTTAAATAAATTCAACTGTTATATGATTTCTTACATAAATAATAGTTCACATATTAGTGCATAAATAAAATAGTTTAATGTAATTCTGTTAGCTAATGTCAAGCAGAAATGTTTGAAGCAGCACGTATCTTTGGCTAATTATCTCTTTTTCTGGTCTGTGGATGCAGTTACTGTAAGCAGGGTATGAAACAAATTTATGGACTGTCCATCTTAGTTGTCTTCCCTGATCCTCAGCTGCATTGTACCATTAGGTATTTTATAATTATACTATTGATCACAGGAGGAACCAGGTGAAAGAATTGGATCATTGATACAATTCATCCTGATGCTGAAAAAACAACAAATTGATATATGCCATGATTTATGAATAAGACCACATTTTTTCCTTTCTTCACCCCTTGTTTTTTCTTTTTTTTTTTTTTAATTTTAATATTTTATTTTTTAGTTATCGGCAGACACAACATCTTTGTTTGTATGTGGTGCTGAGGATYGAACCTGGGCCGCACGCATGCCAGGCGAGCGCGCTACTGCTGAGCCACATCTCCAGCCCCCCTTGTTTTTTCTTAATTGTGTTTTAGAGAAACTCTGTCATTTGTCCTGTGGAATTTATTTACTGTCTGGGTTTCGCTGATTGTATTCCAATGGAGTAACACATCCTCTATGTTTCTCTTAAATTGTAGAGAGAATGATTTTTAAATACAGTGTAGTGATTATATAGTTTTGCTGGTGCCACATCATTGCCATTGTGGCTGTATTTTAGTTGTGTGAATTAAATTGTCATCTCCTGGTCTGTTCACTCACATTGAGATTTGTTTATAAGTAAGCTTCTGCATTAGATGTTTAGTTCTTGCAGATGACTTTATGTCACCTTTCTCAAGTGAAGGCTATGTTTGTGGTTTGAGAGCAACTTGTTTAAAGATAATAAGATGACTGGTTCTCTTTTTCCTTTGGTACTAGGGATTGAACCTAGGGGTACTTTACCAAGGAGGTATTATCCCCAGTCATTTATTCATATATTTTATTTTTTAAAAAAATTTTGAGACGGGTCTTGCTAAGTTGTTGAAGGCCTTTGATAAATTGCTGAGGCTGGCTTTGAACTTGTGGTCCTTCTGCCTCAGCCTTCTGAGTTCTGAGATTACAGGTGTGTTCCACCATGCCCAATTGTTCTCTTTTTATTTCTGGTCCCTCTTGATTGTTAGGCTTTAAAAGAAGCCTTAAACTGGGCTTGGTGGCACATACTCGATAATCCTAGCAACTCAGGAGGCTGAGGCAAGAGGATTGCAAGTTTGAATCCAGCCAGGAAAATTTAACAAGACCCTTTCTYGAAAAGTAAAAAGGGCTGGAAATGTAGCTCAGTATAGTGCCCCTGGATTCTATCTCTAGTACTGTAAAAATAAGTAACTAACTAAATAAAGCCTAAATAAAGCCTTAACATTTCCATTATTTTCCAAAACCACTTTTCAATAATTTACTTGAAATAGTGTAGTTTTGTGTGTGTGTGTGTGTGTGTGTGTGTGTGTGTGTGTGTGGTGCTGAGAATTGAACCCAGGGCCTTGTGCATGCAAGGCAAGCATTCTACCAATTGAGCTATATCCCTAGCCCAATAACTTCTTTTTATAGCATTCATTAAGTGAACTGTTTCTGAAACCTTTTCTATTAAATAAATCTAAAGTCCTCTCTATGTGTGAATATATTTTATAATTAGGAATATAAAAACCATTTTACTTTATGGTGCTTAATGATTTACTATTTCTATTTCACTTTAAAGAATGAGTTGCTTGGGGCTGGGGATGTGGCTCAAGCGGTAGCATGCTCGCCTGGGAAGCGTGCAGCCTGGGTTCAATCCTCAGCACCACATACAAAGATGTTGTGTCCGCCGAAAACTAAAAAATAAATATTAAAATTCTCTCTTTCTCTCTCTCTTTAAAAAAATAAAATAAAATAAAAAATAAAGGCATTGTGTTAACAAAAACAAAAACAAAGAAGAATGAGTTGCTTGTTTTCATCCTTTATTACCGTTTCATCTCTTAACAATTAATAAAGTGCTTCTTAAAGTAGTCTGAGTGTCTTTTCCTATTGCCTAACTCTTTTGGAATTTTTAAAAAATATTTTTTAGTTGTAGATGGTCACAATATCTTTATTTACTTGTTTTTTATGTGGTGCTTAGATTTGAATCCAGTGCCTCATGTATGCAAGGCAAGTGATCTACCACTAAGCTATAACCCAGTCCCTGAAAATGTTTTGATTCAGTATTTCAATATGTATATTTGTCCCCTCTTGTGCTAGAAAGGTCATCAAGTGACTTTGTTTTGTAATTGTATACAAGAACTGTTCTTATTTTTAATGAATGTTTTTATATAGGTTTTTCAGGAACCAGCAGAGGAAGAGCGAGATGGCAGAAAAAAGAAATATCCTAGTCCCCAGAAGACTCGTTCAGAATCTAGTGAACGAAGGTTTGTTTTTAATTAGGAAGACATTGATTTTTTTTAGTTGTTTTGTAAGGCATTAAAAGGAGTTTTAAATGTATTAACTCCTCTCTCTAAATACATTAAAAGGAAGARTGTTATTTCTCTTTCTGTTTTTTGTCTTTGTCTTACTTTCCATTTCTTTTATAAACAATCATTATTATGTTCTTTCCCCAAGAGCTCAGTGGGGTGGAAGCAGTCTCCTTAGAGAGTAATAAAGAAATGTTCCATTTGGTCAGGGGTGCTCAGTATTAAAATTATACATATCATTTTTATATTACAGGTGGTCGTTTGTGTGTGGAATCAAGAACTTATCTTCAAAATACTGGTCTTTATTTAGGAAAACTTGTTTTTGAGCCTTGTTTCTATTTCATTTCTAAATTGCTCCCCCCCTTCTTTCTATACTTTGGGTTCTTCTCTTTTTTTTTTCATTTCACCCCACCCATTTTACTTGTGGTGGGAATATTTTTTTCTTCTTACATGATAGATTAGAAGAATTATGTGACATGGTCTTACCCTTTCCTATAAAAACACAAAAGTTATGAGTTTGGATGACTTGAGAGTATTTTATATTCTGGATTTGTTGGCCGACTTCACTTTTATAGCCTTTATATGGCTTTTATATCTGTGTATTATAGGACACGTGAGAAAAAAAGAGAAGATGGCAAGTGGAGGGACTATGACCGGTACTATGAACGGAATGAATTATACCGTGAGAAGTATGACTGGAGAAGAGGCAGGAGTAAGAGCCGGAGTAAGAGCCGAGGCCTGAGTCGAAGTAGAAGCCGAAGTAGGGGACGCAGCAAAGACCGGGATCCAAATAGGAATGTTGGTGAGTAGACAAGAGGTATCCCCCTAAAAGTTTTATTGTTTATGTCATGGGGGTATATGAGAGTCCCTTAAAGCCAGATGTACCTTCAGTATGCCTAAACAATATAAAAACGAGAATTACCTCAAAAAACTGAATATTGATTTTTGTTAGAAAGATAGGGTTCTATTGGGTTGGAATCATAGGCAAAGAATTTATTTTTAAGATATCAAAGTACATGTCTAGATTTAAGTAATTTTGTGTAATTTTTAAAATGTCCTTTCATCAACAAAGCTATTACTTGAGGAAGAGGGTTGCCTGCCTTTGGTTTTTGTTGTTTTTTGTGAATATAATTGATTTATATAAATTGCCTAAAGTTTATAAAATTGAAAAGATCTTTACACTGGTCTCCTAACTTGAATAATATTCCTATTAAATATCAGTAGAAGCTGACCCTTTTTCGTATTGTTGTTGATGTTGATATTATTATAAAAGATGATGTTTTACAAGTTATTGATCAGACATGTCACATTATTCATGTTCCAGCTTTTAGAATAAATTAACAAGAGCAGTTTGGAATATAGAAAGATAGCTTAGTAAGTTTACTCCAGTGTTCTCATCTTGCTTATTCTGTAAGAAAATAAGTTGGTCTAGCTTTTAGGATAAATTAATAACAAGGACATTTTGGAATACAGATAGCTTTGTAAGTTCTCATCTTTCCTTTCTGTGAGAAAATAAACAAATTCAGGAACGTAAAATGTGTGATTTCTTTGTTTCTTGTTTTTATTTTGTCTCTAAAGCAGAACACAGGGAAAGATCAAAGTTTAAGAGTGAAAGGAATGACCTGGAGAGTTCTTATGTGCCTGTGTCTGCACCACCTCCAAACTCTTCTGAGCAGTATTCCTCTGGGGCACAATCTATTCCCAGCACTGTTACTGTGATTGCACCTGCTCACCATTCTGAAAACACAACTGAGAGTTGGTCTAATTACTATAACAATCATAGCTCTTCCAATTCTTTTGGTCGAAACCCACCACCAAAGAGGCGATGCAGAGATTATGATGGTAAAAACTATGACCTTCTTTTATATTGTTCCTGAAAATATTTTAGTAAAACAAATGTTGCCAATATTGCATACTTTTTCATTGTAGCTCAGATTTTTGTTAAAGGGATGAATGAAAGAGTCTCTTTTGGGATATGCTTATATACCTGTTTTATATAGTGCTTTGGCTCTTGTCAAGAGAATATTTAAATTTGACCCTTTTTTTAGTTTTTATTGTTACATAAACGTTGTAAGTATACCATAAAATTTGGTAGATACTAGGAATTAATAATATCTTTAGGGGCTGGGGATGTGGCTCAAGCGGTAACGCGCTTGCCTGGCATGYGTGTGGCCCGGGTTCGATCCTCAGCACCACATACCAACAAGGATGTTGTGTTCCCCGAGAACTTAAATAAATAAATAAAAGTGCCTCAAAAATTAAAAAAAAAAAAATAATATCTTTATATTGTTTGGTGCTGGGAATTTGTTATTAAGCACATTTAGAAATTTGATTTGCTGATTTTCCATTTGAATGAATGCATCAGCATGTGCGTATTTTATTTATTTTTATTATGGAAATAAATATTTATAAAAGTTGACAAAATATAATTGACCCTGAATATTCATCACCTTGTTCCAACAGTTACCAACTCATTAGCAATCTTGTTTTTATTTAGACCCTATGCACTTCTCCCTCGCTTGTATTATTTTAAGCAAAACAGAAACATCATAGCATTGTTGTCATCATCATTGTCATTATCATCATCATCATTATTATTTTGAGGTACTGAGGATTGAACTCAGGGCCTTATGTGTACTAAGCAAGTACTCTCTCTACAACAGAGCTAAACCTCCATGCCCTCATTTTTCCTCTATATTGAATGCATGTATTTTTACATTTTATTTATTTTTAATGGGGAATAGAGTGAAATTATTGTTCAGGTGTTAAAAATCTCATTACTCCTGTTTCTGAATTTTCCTTCCCAAGACCAACTTAATGATGTCAGTTTCTTATATATATCTTTCTAAACATGTTCTATGCATATGTATCTTAAACTTAATTTCCCCTACTTTCTTTTTTACGTAAATGATAGTATTCTCTTCATACTTTCACATGTATTTTTACTTAGTATTTCTTGATGGTTATCCTGTATTAATACAAAAAGAATTTCTTCAATATTTCTATAGGCTTCTTATAGCTCTATCTGTACAAAAATATGTTCAACCTATTATTGATGCATGCTTGTGATGTTTCTAGTATTTTTTTGTTACAAACAGTGCTGTAGTAAATACTAGTATATAGTGCCTACTTTAATATTTTATTTATTTTTGAATATATTTTTATTTCTAATTGACAGTAATTATACACATTTATGGGGTAAAATGAGATTTCAGTTTATGTATATAGAATGGAATGGTCAGATCAGGATAATTGGTGTTTATCACTTTAACATTTATTCTTTGTGCTGAGAGCATTCAAAATCCTGTCTACTAGCTATTTTTTTTATTAGCTACATCTACTAGCTATTTTGAAGCATTCAATTATTCGTTGTAAATCACAGATATCTTGTGTTGTACATTAAAAGTTATTTCTCCTATCTAGTTGAATATTGTAAACCAAAAATTCAGTTTGCAAATACAGAAAGAATGGTTACTTTAGAATAACATTATGAAGATAGATTATTGAAATTAAGTCATCTAGTTCAATACATTTATCCCCTTTCCTCCACAAGCTTTCTCTAAATTGATATTTGTTTAAAATATCTGAGTTTTGCCTGTTTTGGTGTCRCATACCTGTAATCCCAGTCACTCTCGAGGCTGAGGCAAGCTTCACCAACTTAGTGAGACTCTTAGCAACTCAGCAAGACTGTTTTTCATTAAATAAAAATGAGCTAGAGTTGTGACTTAGTGGTAAAGTACCCTTGGGTTCAATTTCCAGTACCAAAAAAAACCTTGAGTTTTTATTATAAAAACTTAATAGCAAATGGTTTAATCTCATTGCACTTAGTAGCTTATTCTTCCCTGTTATTTGTTATCTCAACAAGTCAGTCTTATAGTATAAAAAGAAGAGAATACACCTTTTTCTGCTTCAAGGACATATGATGATTAGTAGAATGACACCAAGAAGACTTTAAGACTCCTGAGAGAAAACCTTCTTAAATTAGAATGGTGGATTTTTCAGGGATTTGTTTTATTTTCTGATCTGTAAGTAGGTCATAATAAGATTCTTTTTTTATTCTTACAGAAAGAGGATTTTGTGTACTGGGGGACCTTTGTCAGTTTGATCATGGAAATGATCCTCTAGTTGTTGATGAAGTTGCTCTGCCAAGTATGATTCCTTTCCCACCCCCTCCTCCTGGGCTTCCTCCTCCACCACCTCCTGGAATGTTAATGCCTCCAATGCCAGGCCCAGGCCCAGGCCCAGGGCCAGGCCCAGGCCCTGGTCCAGGCCCAGGCCCAGGTCCTGGCCATAGTATGAGACTTCCTGTTCCACAAGGACATGGTCAACCTCCACCTTCTGTTGTGCTTCCCATACCAAGTAAGTACATGCTAGTTGAATCCTTTTTTTTTTTTTTTTTTTGATGGTGGATTCTATTCAGAAGAACTTCCTCCTTTTGGTAAAATTGACACTGTTTAAACTGTTTGAAAAATAAAGTAATGATAGAATTTGGAATATATTCCCATAATTAAGATGCCATTGCTTCCTTTTTGCCATCCATTGTTGCATGGAATTATTTGTCATACCTTAGCAATGTAAATTTTGCTTATGGTAGCCTATCATATAGTGACTTATGGTCAGAATTTTGTTAGTTGATAGCAAGAGAGAGAACATGCTAGTAATTTAATGAAATTTTCCAATCTTAAAAGCAAACCTCTTCAAGAATATTCAAATGACATTTTAACAATTTTTATCAAAATTTTCAGACATACATGCGGTAGAAGAAAAATATATGCCCTACATGTACGTACCATCATCCAGCCTCAGTGATTATCAGTATTTAGGTGTGCCCCCCTCCCATCCCCCAGCTTTTTGGGTTGGTGGGTTTTTGCTCAAGTAAATTCCAATTGTCAAATCAGTTTACTAATTTGTATTTCTGTGTGGAATTCCTTAATAATAAAAGAKGATTTTGTTTGTTTTTGATATTAGAGATTGAGCCCAGGGGCACTTAACCACTGTGCCACATCCCCGGCACTTTTTTTTTTCCCTAGTTGTAGATGGACATAATGCCTTTATTTATTTATTTTTTTATGTGGTGCTGAGATTTGAACCCTGTGCCTCACATGTGCTAGAGACACAATTCCAGCCCAGTCCCTGGCACTTTTTAAATTTTATTTTGAGACAGGGTCTCACTGAATTGTTTAGGGCCTTGCTAAATTGCTGAGTCTGGCCTTGAACTTGCTATCCTCTGCCTCAGCCCCTGAGTCGCTGAAATTACAGGAGTGCCACTACACTGAACAAAGGCTATTTTTGTTTTTGTTGCTTTTTAAGAAAAAAAATCAATATGTGAGTAAGAGATTTTTCCCAGCACCACACACACAAAAAGAAACATGTTTAAAAATGGTCTTTTAAATAACATTCCATGTATGTATGATATGTCAAAATACATTCTACTGTCATGTATAACTAAAAAGAACAAATAAAAAAATAAAAAAACATTGTTAACAATTACTAGTATAGTAGGAACAGAGTTAGACTGTAAGATGTAATTGACAGAATGATGGCATGAATTATTTACTTATATGCAAAAGTAAGGACATTTTAACATAAGACTTGCAAATTATTTAAAAAAGTATTGCCATTTAACTTATTAAAGCTGTACTTTTATAAATTTTCTTTTTTTAAAACATTTTATTTTGGGACCTGAGATTTAACTCAGTGGTATAGCTTTTACCTGGCATATGTAAGGTCCTGGATTAATTCCCGAGCAACACACACAAATACACACAACATTTTATTTTGCAGTAATTGTAGATTCACAGGAAGTTGCCAAAATAGTTTAGCATGATCCTGTGTATAAATTTTATCTGCAGTATAATACTATAGAGAACACTTCAGAGTTGGTAACTATTGGCAGAAATTTGGTCAGTACAAACGTGGTTTTTCTAACTTGGCATTTGTGAATTTTTAATATTGTTACACAGTTTAATAGTAAAGTTTAAGCTGAGATTTTATTCTCCAGATAGTGAAATATTCTTTATATGTAAAAATTCTAATATTAAAAGATGTTATCTCAGTATAGGAACATATTGGTATAAAATTTAAACCCAAGAGTGTCATTTTCTCCAGTATTTTGCTATGAAAAATTTCAAGCCAACAGTTGAAAGCAGTCTACTGTAACCCCAGAAAATTTCCTCAAGTTCTTTTCCAGTCATTCAAGGCAACCAGTTTTGTTCACCCTTGATTAGTTTTCCCTGTCCTGAAAAAGAGTGTCATTTTAATTAATTGTACAACAGTGTTTAAACCTGCATATCTGAAATTCATTAATTCTTTTCATAGCCCAATTAGGTCTTTTTTTTTTCCTTTTTTCTTTTTTTGCATCTGAGATCGAACCCACGGTCACTTTACCACTCAGTCATATCCCCAACCCTTTTTCTATTTTTTATTTTGAGACAGGGTCTTACTGAGTTGCTTAAGGCCTTGCTAAGTTTCTGAGGCTGGCTTTGAACTGGAGATCTCTTGTGTCAGCCTCCTGAGTAGCTGGGATTATAAGCATGTGCCATCATGCCCAGCCCAATTAGAACTTTAAAGTGTGAATATGTAAGTTAATACTAGTATAGTGAGCATTTTTATTAGGAAACATTAATACTCTACCTCTCATTTTTTGTAATCTGTAGGACCACCCATATCACAGTCAAGCTTGATAAACAGTCGTGACCAGCCTGGGACAAGTGCAGTGCCCAATCTTGCACCAGTGGGAGCAAGACTACCTCCTCCCTTACCCCAGAACCTCCTTTATACAGTATCAGAACGTAAGTAAACATTTGACTTAAAATTGCTGAGTTTTGTCCCATCAGTATAACTCTTTTATAAAATTAATTTCTATTTTTATGGACTATGAATTACAAAAATTATATCCACAAAGCAATTTACTCTGTGATTATGCCAGATAGCCATAATTTTAAAAATTATTTTATTTCTTCTAATTTGTTATCTATGACAGCAGAATGCAATTCAATTCATATTATACAAATAGAGCACAATTTTTCATATCTCTGGTTGTACACAAAGTAGAGTCACACCATTTGTGTTTTCATACATGTACTTAGGGTAATGATGTCTGTCTCATTCCACCTTCTTTCCTACCCCCAATGTATAACCATATTTTATTTTTTTTTGATGATCTGGGAGATAAAGTCAAGGTCTTCTGTTTCGGAGAAGTCTCCCCTATAAAGTAGCAACATTTTAGTCTCTTCTATATTTAAATAATTTAAATTATTGCTATAACTTCCTTAACATCTTTACATTTTGTTTCAAATCCCCTGTCCCCAACCATACCACATTCTTTTTAGATGGTTCCTTTTTTTTTTTTAAATATATTTTTAGTTGCCAATGGACATTTAGTTTACTTATGTATATGTGGTGCTGAGAATTGAACCCAGTGCCTCACACATGGTAGGAAAGCGCTCTACCTCTGAGGTATAACCCAGCCCCCTAGGTGGTTCTTTTTTTCTTTTTTTTTTTTTCAATATTTATTTTTTAGTTGTAGAGGGACATAATATCTTTATTTTATTTATTTATTTTTATTTGGTGATGAGGATTAAACCCAGGGCCTTGCACGTGCTAGGCAAGTACTCTACCGCTGAGCCACAATCCCAGTACCCCCAGATGGTTCTTAATGAGTTTCTTTCTGGAACCATCAATGAATCTCTCTGTGGCTTATATCCATCCAGAATCTATTCCTCTCCTTCTTGGTAATCTGTTTTCATTCTTTTCCAACATGGTGTCTTTTCTGATCAGGCCAATTATATCCCCTCTTTGTGCCTGTCATGACTCAACTTTCTTTTTCACCCCTAATTATATGCTTGTTATATAACTCTTTAAAAACTCAAATTTTCTAAGTACTGGAACATTGTTGCTCTGCTTTAAACTCCTGTGTTACCAAAAAGCATTTATTTTATAATTTGACATATGTGTAGGCCTGTTTGATTTTTGTTGTATGTAAATTGTACATTTTTTTTTAAAGAGAGAGTGAGAGAGAAGAGAGAGAGAGAGAGAGAGAGAGAGAGAATTTTTAATATTCATTTTTTAGTTCTCGGTGGACACAACATCTTTGTTGGTATGTGGTGCTGAGGATTGAACCCGGGCTGCACGCATGCCAGGCGAGCGCGCTACCACTTGAGCCACATCCCCAGCCCCTGTAAATTGTACATTCAGCTGAGCCTCCTTAGAACAGAATCTATATCTGACATTTAAGTAATTTTTCTTCCTGTTTCATGTTCAGTATCTCTGATTACTATAGTGTCTTTTAGTGTTTATTCTATTGCTGCTCTCATTTTTTAATTATGGGAAATCTCAAATATATATAAAAATAAAGAAGATAGTATAGTGAACTTGTAGGTGCCAAGATAATGAAGTCCTGTGTATCCATCACCCAGCTTCAGTAGTTATCAGCTCATAGCTAATTCTCTTCCATCTATTTCCACCTGATTGGCCCTTATCATTATTTYTGAATGCCTTTTGGACTTGTAAATAGGAAAAAACATTATTTATCCCAGTCTGTTGCACATGGCATATTTTTGTATTGGATGGCAAATTTTTATATTGTTAAATTTAGTTTTGTGACTCATGAGATAAAGATTCCATTTGGTTCTAATTTTTTAAAATCTGGCAGTTCTGAATATTTCACTGATATAATTTAATATTCATTAATTCAGCAAATATTTATTGAGTACTTATTATGTGCCAGTGCTTATTATTCTAGATACTAGAGATCCAAGATGAATAAGATAGAAGACCTCATGTTGCTTGATGTCCACTTTTCTCTTTTCTCTAAAAGGAAGAATATTCTGTGATGTAGCAGTAAAGGCTTTTTAGAACAGAAATTGCAAATGTTCATTTTTCAGAGACTGATAATATGTAAGCAAATTGGGGGGACAAATACACTTAGCAGCTTCTTATTTTGCTAGAATAAGGCCTATATAAGAAAATATATAGTATTTAAATTTTAAAAATAGTTTTACATCTAAAAAGACAATCTCAGAATAAAGGACCATTATTTAATATTTATTTTTATGAAATATTTACTACATTTTTCTGTTTTTTTTTTTTTGTTTCAAGACCAATAAAAGGCAGTAACTTTCCATTGGCATTTGTGCTTGACTGCTTTAGAAGGTAGTCTTTTTTTTTTTTTAATAAATATTTTTGTTTCATTTATTTATTTTTGTATGGGGTGCTAAGGATCGAACCCAGTGCCTCACACATGTGAGACAAGCGCTCAACCACTGAGCTACAACCCCAGCCCAAGAAGGTAGTCTCGTATGCTTATGAAGATCTTTAATTAGATGATAACTGATTATTTTTAAAGTTGTGTTATTAACATTCATTGTGGACATTTCAGAATTTTGCTATGCAAACAAATTTGAGATTTTTCTTCCATTCTTAAAAGCCTAAAATTTATAGAGAAATTTGAAAACTTTTCTTCTTGTAGTACTGGGGATTGAATCCAGAGCCATGCCATCATTGGTAGGCAAGTACTCTACTGCTGAGCTACATCTTCAACCCTTTTTGTTTTTTTTGTTTTTTGTACTGGAGATTGAAACCAGAGGTACTTTGCCACTGAGCTACATCCCTAGTCATTCATATATATATATATATATATATGTGTGTGTGTGTATGTGTGTATTCTGTAGTTGGGCACAATACTTTTGTTTTTTTATTTGTTTTTATGTGGTGCTGAGAATTGAACCCAGCGCCTCACATGTGGTAGGCAAGCGCTCTACCGCTGAGCCACAGCCCCAGCTCCATCCCTAGTCCTTTTTTTTTTTTAAAAGAGAGAGAAAGAGAGAGAATTTTTTTTTATATTTTAGTTTTCAGCGGACACAACATCTTTGTTTGTATGTGAGGATCGAACCCGGGCCGCACGCATGCCAGGCAAGCGCGCTACCGCTTGAGCCACATCCCCAGTCCCCCTAGTCCTTTCCTTTTTTTTTTTTTTTTTTATTTTGAGATACGGTTTTCCTATGTTGTGGAGTCTTGACCTTAAACTTGAGATTCTCCTGCCTCATCCTCCAGAGTCATTGATAATACAGGAGTGCACCACTACACCCAACCAAGAAGTAAGTTTTTTAAGAAGTAAACAGGACTGGAAATGTAGCTCACTGATAGAATGCTTGCCTAGGATGCACAAGGCCCTGTGTTCAATCCCAGCATTGCAAAAACAGACAAAAAAGCAAACTAGCATAAAAATCAGAAGCCAGTTACATCAGGGCATGGTGGTATACACCTATAATCCCAGCAACTGGAGAGGCTAAGGGAGGAGGATCACAAATTCAAAATCAGCAATTTAGCAAGGCCTTAAGCAACTTAGTGAGATCCTGTCTTAAAATAAATAAAAAGGTCTGGGAATGTGGCTCAGTGGTTAAACACCCCTGGATTCAATCCCCAGTACCAGAAAGAAAAAGAGAAAAGCCAATTTACAGTATATTTTACCATTAGACAGAGTGCCTGAGAGCACAGGTCACAAAGAAATGTATTTTGGTTGAATGCAATGGTACATACCAGTAATCCCAGTGATTCACAACTTTGGTCAGGAGGATCAAAATTTGACTAGCCTCAGCAGCAACTTAATGACACCTTGAACAATTCAGTATGACCTTGTTTCAAAATAAAAAGGACTGGGAATATAGTGCAAATGACCCTGGGTTCAGTTAATCCCCAGTTCCAAATATATGTATATAAAGAAATGAATTCTGTAAAATACAAAACATTTATTTAAACTTTTTTTGTTTCAATTAGTTATACATGACAGTAGAATGCATTTATGCACTTTGATATATCTTACATAGATGGGATATACATTTCTTCCCTCTACTTAATGTAAGGTAACACTATTCTTCCCTAGTGCTCCCTATTGTGAATTAGCATCCGCATATTAGTGAAAACATTCAGCCTTTGGTTTTGTGGGATTGGCTTATTTCGCTTAGCATGATATTCTCCAACTCTAACCATTTACTGGCAAATTCCATAATTTTACTCTTCTTTAAAGCTGAGTAATATTCTACTGAGTATATATACCACATTTTCTTTATCCATTCATCTATTGAGGGACACCTAGGTTGGTTCCATAGTCTAGCTATTGTGAGTAAAGCATTTATTTAAGCTGTAATTATCACTTGTTTTGGAAGAGGACTATTGAATGTTAAAAGCATAAGAATAGGGGCTGGGAGCTGGGGCTGTAGCTCAGTGGTAGAGCACTTGCCTAGCATGTGTGAGGCACTGGGTTCAATCTTTAGCACCATATAAAAATAAATGAATAAAATAAAGTATTGTATCCATCTACAACTAAAAAAAAAACTAGTTCTCCAATGTAATTCTGCAACCTGTACACTCAGAAAAATGAAAAATTATATCCCATCTGACTCAAATGTACGATATGTCAAGATCATTGTACTGTCATGTGTAACTAATTAAAACAAATTWAAAAAATGGAAAAAACTAGTCTTATAAAACTGGATATATGTGATTCCTGCTCATGCTATTCAGAAGTTAATATCAAATTGGTTATGGTTTAGAAAAGACTGAAATTTGTTGTTTTTATTGAGTTAAAATGACATCATATGAAAATGACTTGAGATGTAGTTGGAATTTTTTGAAAAGACTACAACACCATACACATTAAAGTCAACTCTTTCCACTGAAGTATTTTTAAACATTTTACCCAGCTTTAACATCGCCAACCCAGTGTAAACTGTCCCCTGCACTCCAGGTCCTGGGAATTGAGCCTCTTGCATGCTAAGCAAGGACTCAAATA